TTTGCAAAATTGACTTTTATTTCAGTTAAGTTTTATGAATTGAAACTAGATAGAAGTCAATTAACAGTTTATAATTCAAATTGAACTATAAACTAGATGGTATATTAAGAATTAGATCTAGTATAATTTGCTTTAGAAACTCTTTTGCAAAAGCCATCTTAAACATATATTTTAGTCCAAACTAGGTTTTTCGGATTTCAAAAGTCAGTTATAAAAGTACAAAAACTATAGTAATATAGTATTTTCTTATAGATTCGGTTAGCTTTGTGCACAGACGGAGTAAATATAATATGACAGCTAACTAAAAAAAATACTAAAATATAATATAAAATGTGTCTTGGGTGTAAATCATATTCAGCTTGCATGTCATCTGATTTGCAACTAATACTTTCGTATGTGTGACAGTTTAAAATGATAATCCTCCCTGATCACTAATATAGATTCTAATTCTTAAGTTGATTTTAATTTAAATATAAGACCTGTTTTTATATTTATTAATTTTTTTTCTAAATTACTCATATGTATATTCTCTTGACTACAATCAAGTGGGAGAATGGGAGGATATTAAGGAAGATAATTATGGTGTTTTAGGAAAAATATGTTATATTTCTTATAATTAACTAACTTACATAATTTCATTAATAGAATTAGTTAAATGGGTCTTATATTAATAACCAGAAGAATATTTGTAGCTCACTTTTTAACTTTTTTTTTTTAACTAATCGACATCGACAGTCTTAGATAAAACATAATAATTAGTATCAAAGTTGTGTGGAATGATGGGTGGAGTGGTTTGTGGTGAGGAAGAATCAGGTAGCGAGAAAGAAGAAGTAGTAGGGTGATAAGAAAAGTCATCGTCAAGAAAGGATGACATGGTCTGTATGGAAGTATCAATAGGTGCACTTGAAACATTTGTAAAAAGAAACACAAGTTCATGAAAAACAACATTTCTAGATAAAAAGATCTGATTTGTATGTAGATTTAATAAAATATAAGCTTTGGAACCAAAAGGAATGTCTAAAAAAACACATTTTTTTAGCTCTAGCAGAAAACTTGGACTGATTATGAGACAAAGTGAAAGCAAAACATAGATAATCAAAAACTTTCAGATCAGAATAAGATGGAAAAATAGAATGCATTTGTTAAAAAAGAGTAAGATTATTTATGACTGGAGATGGTAATCTATTAATGATGAAAGTAGCATCCATTATGGCAAAAGATCAATATGAAACGGGAATGTTAGATTAAAATAAAAGTACACGAGCAACATTGAGAATGTGCTGATGCTTTCTTTTGACCAAACCGTTTTGTTGAGGTGTTTCAACACAAGAGATTTGGTGGACAATACCTTTTAAATCATAAAAAGCTTTCATAACAAACTCGGGACCATCGTCAAATTTCAAAGTTTTAACAGCTGTGGAATATTGAAACTAAAAAATTCGTAAGTTGGGTTCTTGTGTCAGACTTAGAGTCTAATAGAAAAATCCGAGTGTAGTGTGAAAAATCATCTACTATGGTAAGAAAGTAATGATAACCTTGAACAGAGGGGATAGAAAAAGGACCCCATATGTCACAGTGAATAAAATAAAAAATTTTATTAGATGAATTGTGCTTACAGGAAAGGATAAACATTTCTGCTTAGCAAAATGGCAAGCATCACAAGGAGGAGCATAAGAGATACAAGGAATTTTAGGATAATGGTTATTTAAAGCGGAAAGAGTTGTACTAGAAACATGTTCTAAACGTAAATGCCACAAAGTAGAAATAGAATTGGAAGCATTGATAGAAACTGTGTGAACTTGAGGATTAGGTGAAGAAACCATATTTGCATGAAGAATATAAAGCCCTTCAAAGAGTTTAGTTGAACCAATCATCTCCAGGGGATTGAGTGAGCGAATCTAACAAGAATCAAAGAAGAAAGTGAGAAAACAATTAAGAGACAATGTCAGACGAGAAATAGAGACAGTATTGAAGGAAAAATTAGAAAGAAAAAGGACACCGTGAGAATTAAAGAGGGAGATATCACAATTGTGCCAAAAATAGTTAAAACAGCTTGAGTCCCTGTAGGTAAGCTAACAGAGACAGGAGAAATGGAATGATATGAAGAAAATAGATCAAGATTGCTATAAACATGGTTAGTGGCACCCGAGTCAATGATCCAAGTAATAGAATATGGAGAAAAAGAATTGGATATACCTGTAATGGATTTGGTGGAAGCATTAAAATAATTGACTGAAGCAGAAGTTTGTGGAGGTGCTAGGATAGTAAGGAGATATTAATATTGATCAGATGTGAGATGCGGAAGGATGGAAGCCGTAGAAGGTGAGGAAGTAGGGAGAGATGTAGCAGTACGAGTTTCTTGAGCATTACTAGAACCTTGCGTAGAGAAGTTATTCACTGTAGCAGAGGGCCGAATTTTGAACCCTTAGGGAAAACTGTGTTTCTTATAGTAAGTGGCCTCAGTATGACGAGGCCGACCATAATAACCACATTGTTTAGTGACCATAGAAGTAGGCTTTGAGCCAACTGGAGCAGGACAAGGCGACTGGGATGGTCCTTTGGCAACCAAAATATTGGAATGAAGAGGAAGAGTGAGTTCCCGTTCTTGCTGGAGCACAAGAGAAAAAACTCGGTTGATTGTTGGCAAAGGATCAATAAGCATGATTTGAGACTTGATAGAAGCACATGGATCATTAAGACTTTTTAGAAATCTGATTATGTGATGTTGTTCATGATGAGTGTGTGCTGGGCTTGCAGAATTGCAAGTGCATGGCTTAAGAGGTCAAATGCTATCCAATACATCTTCCAAGGTCTTCAGACGAGTGTAATACTCGCTAACACTGAGACTAGCTTGCCTCAAACTATATATTTTCTCTTGTAGTTCAGCAATTCAAAATAGATCGGATTGAGAGTAACGCGATCAAAGATCGCTCCAGATATCAGAGGCCTTCTTGAACCAGATAATGCTTTTTGCAATTGTTGGAGAAGTAGACTTGGGCAGCCACCCTTGGATGAGGTTATTGCAACATTCCCAAGCAGGGAAAAGAAAATCATCAGGTTTCAGCGGAGAGATTGAGCCGTCGATGAACTTGAGCTTGTTTTTAGAGAGCAAAGCCATGTGCGTGGCATGTGCCCAGCGGTGGTAGTTAGATCCATCAAGAGGAGGGGAAACTGGTACCAGGGCGGGGTTTTCATTGGGATAAATATAATAAAGACTATTCTGATTAATGGAGGAAGAAGAAGAATCGGCGACCATGGAGAGGAGAAGAGAGGTCGGTGAGGGCAAGCCGGCAAGGGTTAAAGAGGAAAAGAACAATTGAAAAGTAAGGGCAAAAGAGGAAGGAAATGGCGGAAGAGAGACTAGGCTCGTGATACCATTTAACAATATTTGGTAAAATAGGTAACTTGTATTTCACTGATAAGAGAGTTATATTTATATAGGTAAAAATATATAATACCTAATATTTACAAATAATTGAATCAGTTTGAAATAATTAACAGAAATGTTAATTCTATCTTTCACAAAAGTTTTTCAAATGCATTATAATAAAAGTTCAATATATTTATCTTAACTTTGAAAAGAATTTTAACTTATATATTATTTACTACTTATCTGGTCCTTAATATAGAGCTTAATTGTTAAGTTAATTTTGATTCTAAATATAAAACCTATTTATCATATTTATCCATTTTTCCTAAATTACCCATATGAATACTCTTTCAACCATAATCAAGTAAGTGAGGGAGGAAAGATATTAAAAAAGATGATTATGGTGTTTTAAGAAAAACATGTCATATTTTTTATAATTAACTAACTTACCTAACTTTCTTAATATAATCAAATTAGTTAAATATGTCATACATTAAGGACTGGAAGAATATATATTAGGCTTATTTTAAGCAAATCAAGTCAACGCTGTTAAAATAAATTCTTTTAAGTTTTATAAAATAAAATAAATTTTTGGTGGTTAAATTGTCACCAGGCTAAATAATCAATACTATCTTCGATCCTTAATATAAATCCTAAATATAAGATCTCAATCAACTTTGTTTCTCTTATTTATTCATTTTTTTAAGATAGTCTTTGTGGTAGTTGTACATATTAAATGTTTCATTGAATAGTATTTGACTAACAAGATTATTTTATGAAAGATAACATCTATTTATTATAAATAACTAACTTAATTAATTTTCTTAATCTATTCAACTTAGTCAACTAGTTTTTATATTAAGAACTAGAAATAATACTATCCAATGGATAATAAACAAGCTGAACATTATTTATAATCATTTTTACCTCCTTTTTGAGGTAGTTGATTAATTTATTCTCAAACTAATTTTAATTGTGGTTTTGAATACCCTAGACTCTAATAAGCTTTATATTGAGTTTACACATCTCAGAATTTGTTTGTATCTGCATTTGATAAGAGCTTATAAGTATTTTTACGTAAATCAAAATAAAATTTTTTTTTGCATACTTACTTTATATTTTGCGTGAAAAAATATGCATATTACATCGTAACGTGGATTCCCATCCATCGCCGGAGATAACCTGGATTTTTTTGCATCACAAGACATCAACTCATCGGGATACTACAAGGAGACAAATACAAATCTTTAAATCTCCAGAAATTTTTCTCATCATCAGCAATACAGTTAGTTATCCAGGCTCAAAAGCTATCCAAGCTAAATTGCGCACTATTTACGCTCATTGGCCCAGTTAACCTAGAATCATAATATTTATTCTCTTTTTTTGGTCGTAGATTCCTTCTCTTGACTTTGCAGACGCTTGTTCATTTTTCGCGAACATGCGTGCGTGTGCTTCAATTGAATCGGACCCCCAACAATAAACGCACCAGCGGGAGTATTAAAGGGGCCAAGTTTGATGCAAGTTCTGTCCGGACATTACAGACTGATTGAGCAGCTCGCTTGGGCCAGTTCTGCGTCTCTCGCTTAGTTCCAACTTCCAAGGGCATTTTCGTATAAGCGGATTATTTCTCGAGTTATCAACGATAAAAACACCAGCTATACGTAAAAGCGGAAAAAAAAAAATTGACACGAAGTCGCCCCCTTCAATAACAAACCAAAACGAAAACACGCACATATTATATCGCAGAGAAGAGGCGCCACAGAGAAGATTTTCTAAAACATCTAGGAGGGAGTGACACAAAATTATCAAGAACTATTAACTTTTTCTGCGATTCGCGATCTGGGCTTGCTGAACTTCCTTCTCCTGTTGTTCAATTTTCAGCCCCTGGGATTTGTCTTGCCGATCTGTTTCTTCACTTCTCTAATTTTCTTGGTAGTTTTCTCGTCCTATTCTTTCTTCTTGTTTTCAATTGTGTTTCCGGATTTTTAATGGGGTTGCGTCTTGGGTTTAATTCAGCAGGTTTCATACGTCAGTATGCACTTTACCTCAATAAACCCTGCATTTGATTTGGTTCATATTTGAGTTGTGTTTTTTTCCCCCCTGAATTTTTGGACTTTAGGGTTTTGAACTTGGGCGCCAATCGAGAGAGTTGAAGCATTTGCAGTATGAGCATCGACAGCCCCGGGACAGGGGAGAATTAGGGTTTCGAGCTTCCAACAAGAGGTGAGACTTCCATGGGCGATGGAGGCGTCGCATGCATGCCTTTGCAGCAGCAGCATATTATGGAGAGATTGCCGAATGGAGAAAAAACGCTTTGCGGAGGCACGAATGGGAATGGGTTCAATTCTAAGTTGCTCCAGTTTGCTGACAGTGATCGGAAGAAGAAGATGAAGGCGAAGAAAGAAGAGCCAGCAAAGAAATTTCAGGTGGAAAGAAGTGAATTGGCATCGGACGGGGTAGGCAAGAGCAACGATGAACTTGAGAATGATGAAACGTGCGCGGAAAAGGTACAAAAAGAAGAAATGGAAGAGGGAGAATTGGGCACTATGAAGTGGTCAAGAAATGATCTGGAAAATGGAGAGTTTGTTCCGGAGAAGCCGCGGAGGGGTGAACTTGAGAATGGAGTGATTGTTATTGAGAAATGTAAAAAGGGGGAGCTGGAAAAGGGAGAGATTGTTTATGGAAAATGGAGAAGAGAGGATGTGGAAAAGGGGGAGATAGTTTCGGAGAGGAGCAGGAAAGGAGAGGCTGATAAAGGGGAATGTGGCTTGGGTAAAAGTATTATAGATGACATTGAGAAGGGAGAATTCATTCCTGATAGATGGCACCGAGGGGAAATAGGAAAGGATGATTATGCTTACAGTAGAATGCGCAGGTACCAATCAGGCAGGGACAAAGGGTGGAAAAGTGAACGTGAACGCACACCACCTTCTGGGAGATATACAGGTGGTGATTATATTAGAAAGAAGGAATTTAATAGAAATGGGGGTCAGCATGCCAAGAGTGCTCCTAGGTGGGAGAGTGGGCCAGAGAGGAATATAAGGATTAGTTCGATGATAGTGGATGAGGAAAAAAATGAGCATAGCAATGGGAGGAACCATGCTCGAGAATACTCTGTGGGCAGTCGGTTGAAGCGGCATGGTAATGATTCAGATAGCAGTGAGCGCAAGCACTATGGAGATTATGCTGGTTTAAAAAGTCGTAGGCTTTCTGATGACAGCTGCCGGCCTCTTTATCCAGAACACTATTCTCATCGTTCTACAGAGAGGTCTTATAGAAATTCATCAAAAATATCAGCAGACAAGTATTCTCGGAATCATGAATCTTCTTTACCTGGTAGACCAGCTTATGACAGGCATGGATGTAGCCCTGTTCATTCTGACCGATCACCACGCGATCGTTCCAGGTATTATGATCATAGGGATCGTACTCCAGTTCGCCGTGAGAGGTCCCCACTTGGCCGCGATAAATCTCCATATGTTCGGGAGAAATCGCCCCATGGCCGTGACAGATCTCCATATGTTCGGGAGAAATCCCCCCATGGCCGTGACAGGTCTCCATATGTCCGGGAGAAATCCCCCCATGGCCGTGACAGGTCTCCATATATTCAAGAGAAATCACCCCATGGTCGTGAGAAGTCTCCATATGAAAAGATTTGGGATAGAAGCCGTTACAATGATCATAAAATAAGAAGTCCTACTCATGGTGAGCGGTCTCCACAAGACAGACGTCGACATCATGATCGTAGGGATCGGACGCCAAATTTGGTTGAACAACCTCCCTTGGATCGGCCTAGGCTAAATGGTATACGAGAAAACAATTCTAAAATGATATCAAGTGAAATGCATGACTCACCACATAGTTGTAAGGATCATGAAGATAAGCACATCAGTAGGGAGTCAAATTGTTCAGCTACAGATTCTCACAGTGAAAGAAATTTGCACGATGTAAATGGGTCAATTGAGAGAGACAACAGTGAGAAGCCTGAAAAGGAAGAGCAGTCCTGCAGCCCTACTGTAGGCCGCAAAGAATCTCCCCGCATTGAACCACTTCCTGAAGAGCTGCCTTCTATGGAAGAAGATATGGACATTTGTGATACTCCTCCTCATGTTCCTGTGGTGGCAGATTTGTCATCAGGGAAGTGGTTCTACCTTGATTATAGTGGTGTAGAACACGGGCCTTCTAAATTATCTGACATCAAGTTTCTTGTTAACGAGGGAATACTGATGTCAGATCACTTTGTCAAGCACCAAGATAGTGACAGGTGGTTAACAGCTGAGAATGCAGCATCACCGTTGGCAACACATAGTTTTCCATCCATTGTGTCAGACTCCATAACGCAGCTGGTAAACCCTCCAGAAGCTCCTGGTAATCTTTTGGTTGATACCGGAGATATCCTTCAATCCGGAGCTGAGACTTTTCAGAAGATGCCAGCTCCTTTGTCGCAGCCAATAGTATGCCCTAATGACAGCGTGGTTGCCTCTGAACCTCTAGAGGAATTCCACATTGATGAAAGGGTTGGAGTTTTGTTAGAGGGTCATGATGTAATTCCTGGGAGGGAGGTTGAAGCAATAAAAGGTATTTTGTTCTGTCAAAAATATCCTACACAGTTTCTTTGTTTATGGAAAAGATAAAAAATTTGAATATTATACTAAATATAAATTTTTTTGTCCCCCCCCCCCCCAAGATACTTGATCTTTCTCAACTTGTCTATTTTATTGTCTTGCAGAAGCCTTGCAAATGAATTTTGAATATGCAGATTGGGAAGGGTTGGGAGGCCTTGAAGGTAGATATTGCTATACAGTGCCTGTACCGTTTCATTTTATTAAATCTTTTATCTTTTATCATTTTTTAATCAATCATCAGTTCTGAGTTTCTGACAATTTATATTTATTTTAAGCTGATATCTTTTGTCCAGAGTTGCCTTATGATTACTAGTTTGAGTAAGCTATGTTTGAAGAGTCGCTCTTTTTTTTTTAAAAAAAATTTTTAAAATTTTTTATTTGCATGTCGGGCTTGAATGGTTTGTTTGTCCTTTTTCTGCTGATTTTTCATCTCAATTTTTAATGTACAGTGAATTGACGTCTAATGATATTGAGGTTATCTTGTCAAAGTTCTCAGTTATGAGTGTCTTGGCTTGGTTGACTGAAGTTTCTTTTAATATTTTCTAATATTGCTAGTTTTTTACATGGTGATAAAATCCAAATTGTCATTCTACGGTGTTGATCTCATTTTGTTGATTTTTCATGATTCATTTAATATTTTACAAATCATTTTAGTTTTGGCAATGCCATCCTTATGTTCTCCGTGCCTGAAATTTCCATTTGAGTCAAATTGCTTTATTCATAGTCAGTCATTTAGGCTGGCTTAGTCTGTAATGTTGGCTTTAAGTAAACGGAGTGACATTATAGACTTAAATGCTTTTGGAAATAGGTTTTGCATGCAGATTAGATGAATGAAATATTAAAATCGCACATTTGATATGAACCAGTGAGATTTATATCATATATGGAACTTGTGATTTTGCTCGTCATGTAATGTTTCAGAGCTTGATTTGTAAATTTATGTTTATTTCTCATCTGGAGAATTAAAAAGTAAACATGGTGCACCTAGAGGTATGCGCCTCATGGAGAATTTTTTCTGTATAATTAGGTTTTCCTTGGCATGATAATTTTCCGAGAGAAGATTGTGATTCAAGAACTGATTTTGCATCAAGGGATCCTGCGACTCAGTCAAGCATGCTCCTTGACAAGGATAATGGATTTGCCTTTGGTGATCCTGGCGACTGGTTTTCTGCCCGATGGTCATGCAAAGGTGGTGACTGGAAAAGAAATGATGATGTCCAAGATAGATCTTCTAGGAAGAGACTTGTCCTAAATGATGGGTTTTCATTATGTGAAATGCCTAAATCTGGATGTGAAGATCCTCGGTGGACTGAAAAGGATGACTTGTATTATCCTTCTCAAGGCAGGAGGCTTGATCTCCCTCTTTGGGCTTTTTGTGCTGATGAGAGGGCTGACTGTGGTACTGTAAGCAGAACGGCTCAAACTAAATCCTTTTTGGCCAGAGGAGTGAAAGGAAATGTTCTTCCGGTGGTAAGGATAAATGCTTGTGTGGTCAATGACCAGGGGTCATTGGTTTCTGAGCCACGACACAAAATCCGAGTCAAGGACAGACATCACTCAAGGCCTACTCGCCCATTCTCTTCAAGCATTGATAGCAAGAGATCATCGACTGAAGAAGATTCTCAGTCAAAAGCCATTAGTGATCAAAGTTCTTGCCTGAGCACGGAATTTGTCAATACTCCCAAAGACCGACTCTGTACGGTCAATGATTTACAATTACATTGGGGTGACTGGTATTATCTTGATGGTTCTGGGCGTGAAAGAGGGCCTTTGTCGTTTTCAGAGCTGCAGGTTTTAGTAGATCAAGGAATTATAAAAAAGCATAGCAGTGTTTTCAGGAAATGGGATAAACTTTGGGTTCCTGTTACCTCTGCTGCGGAAACTTCTGATATTAGTCTTGGGTACCTCCAAGAAAGCAGCACAACAGCTGGCAAATGTTCGGGACTTCCATTGTTGCAAACTCAGGGTGTGTCATTCAGTGAATCTTGTACAAGCAGCAGTTTGTTTGACCGTGTACATCCTCAGTTTATAGGCTATACTCGTGGGAAGCTACACGAATTGGTAATGAAATCATACAAGAGCCGGGAGTTTGCTGCAGCTATAAATGAGGCTTTGGATCCCTGGATCAGTGCAAGACAACCAAAAAAAGAAAATGAAAAGCAACTGTATTGGAAATCAGGTAATGCATAACTTGTTTTATTATTTTACAGGCATCCTGTGTTCTATTTCAACAGCACCGTTGCTTGCACTGCCATTCAGTTATGCCGTGCCCTTTTTTCCCGAATCATTTCTCATCAGATCTCTATATCTTGCCCCTTATTCATATCATGTTGGGTTACTCTGTATGTAATTTATTCGTTATGTGTATGTGTTTCTATTATCTGCCTCCCTGCTTATGCTGGTGTAATCTATATTTATTCATGTTGCTTTAAGTGCTTGGTTTATGTCCGTAAAACCTCTTTAGTTAAAGTGCGTCTGCTTAATTTCCCTTTAGCCTTATTCTCTATTTTGACCTGTATGAATGCAGTTTAGTGGCTAGCAAATTTGCCTCGAACCAATATTTGTGGCTTTCTTGTTTTGCACACATGCGGTTCTATATATAGTATGGGACGATACTAAACGATTTCATTCACTTAGTCTCTTGATTAACTTCATTTTTATTCTTCTGGATGCTTGCATTGTGGTTTGGGTGCTGTAAACTTCAGAAGGTGATGCACGGGCTGCCAAAAGAGCTCGTATTCTGGTTGATGACAGTGAGGAAGACAGTGATGTGGAAGATGGTACCTTGACTCTCCTGAAGAATGAATCCGCTTTTGATGATCTATGTGGTGATGCTACTTTCCACAAACAAGAAAGTGGTTTCACTGATTCTGAAGCGGGAAGCTGGAGCTTGTTGGATGTTCATGTGTTGGCTCGAGTCTTCCACCATTTAAGATCTGATTTGAAGTCCCTTGTCTTTGCTTCATTGACGTGCAAGCATTGGAGAGCTGCTGCCACATTTTACAAGGGCGTTTCAAGACAGGTCAATTTGTCATCCTTGAGTAATTCTTGCACTGATTCCATTCTGGGGAGCATTATGGTATGTTTTCATACATTTTCCTTTACATATTTTAGATGGTTTCTATTTCTTCAATATCTAATCTGTTATTTGATTGCAGAATGGATATAAGAAAGACAAAATCGGATCTATGATTCTAACTGGTTGCACCAATATTAGTGCGGACATGCTTGAGAAGATTCTTCTTTGGTTTCCCTCTTTATCTGCAATAGACATCAGAGGATGCAGCCAGTTTAATGACTTGACTTCTAAATTTCTCAATGTGAAATGGATCAAGAGCCGAAGTTCATGCATAAGCAAAACTGCAGAAGAGCCACATAAAATTAAAAGCCTTAAACAGATCACTGAGAAAACTTCATATGTTTCCAAGACCAGCAATCTAGGTGCCATGGATGATTTTGGTGAGCTGAAGGACTACTTTGATAGTGTGGATAAGAGAGACACAGCAAAGCAATTATTCCGTCGAAACTTATACAAGAGGTCCAAACTGTATGATGCCAGAAGGTCCTCTTCCATTCTATCTAGGGATGCTCGTACTAGACGATGGGCAATTAAGAAATCTGAAAATGGTTATAAAAGGATGGAGGAATTTATTGTTTCTGGTTTGAGGGAAATTATGAAGGAAAATCCCTGTGATTTTTTTGTGACCAAGGTACCTTCATATATTCATATTACTATTTTTTCAGACGCCCTATATTATTCTCAAAATTTTATGTCCTATATTATTTTTGATAACAGGTTGCAGATATTGAAGCTAAAGTGAAAACTGGTTATTACAGTGGCCGGGGGTTGAGCTCTGTCAAGGAGGATATCAGCAGGATGTGTCGTGATGCAATAAAGTAAATGTTTCTGATGCTATGGTTATATGATAAGATTTGACCCTTAACATTGAACACTATTGAACCTGTTCTGACAATAAGATTAAAACTACCCTAAATTTTATTTCAATTTTGCTGATGTCCTGATTGAGTGCTACAAAACATGGTCAAAGTTTTCACTGGAGAAAAGGTCATTGACACCAATTCTTGCTGTCATGAATGTTCGTCTGTTATATATATGCTTCATTCCTTTTACATTTAATTGTCTTTTATCCATGTATGTTTGAGAGGTTCGCAGTTACATGCATCAAGTTCTTTTTACATCCTGATATTATCTTTGAAACTTTGTAAAGTATATGCTATGGTTGCCTCTGTTTATGGATTCGTATTGTTAAACTAGGTATGATTAACATTTCCCTCCTTCCGGTTTTTAATTTATCTCTTTATGTGCTCCTATGCTTAATGTTCACAGAGCAAGGAATCATGGTGATGCTGCTATGAATCATATTATTACATTATTCATTCAGCTTGTGACACGGCTGGAAGAAAGTTCCAAGTCTCTGAATGACAGAGATGCATCGTTGAAGTTAGGGGAAAGTGACTCATCATCCTTTTTTGGTTCCACCTCCTCAAAGTATAGGAAGAATAAATTGGTCACTGAGAGGAAGTACAAGAGTAATGGAGCACGTGGTAGTTTAGATAATGGAGACTATGTCTCTGATCGAGAAATTAGGAAACGTTTATTAAAGTTGAATAAGAAATCTTTTGATTCAGATGGTGAAACATCTGATGACACTGATATTTCTTCCGAAGACGGCAAGAGTGACAATGAAACCACAACATCTAACAGTGAAAGTGACCAAGAAATCCATTCAGAATGTCAAATTGTGGGGTCAAGAGGGGATGGACTCTTCACACCTGATGAGGGTTTGGATTTCATAGCTGATGATCGTGAATGGGGTGCCCGTATGACGAAAGCAAGTCTAGTTCCTCCAGTTACCCGGAAATATGAAGTCATTGACCATTATGTCATCGTAGCTGATGAGGAGGATGTGCAGAGGAAGATGAGAGTTTCATTACCAGATGACTATGCTGAAAAACTGAATGCACAAAAAAATGGCACTGAGGAGTCAGATATGGAACTGCCTGAAGTCAAGGACTACAAACCGAGAAAACAGCTTGGAGATGAGGTTATTGAGCAAGAAGTTTATGGAGTTGATCCTTATACGCACAATCTTTTGCTCGATTCTATGCCAGAGGAGTTAGATTGGTCTCTACAAGAGAAGCATTTGTTTATAGAGGACATGCTCCTTCGAACTTTGAATAAGCAAGTGAGGCATTTTACTGGAACAGGAAGCACTCCGATGAGCTACCCTTTGCAGCCTGTTATTGATGAAATTAAGAGGAGTGCTGAGGAGGACTGTGATGTAAGGATGATTAGAATGTGTCAGGGTATCCTAAAGGCCATAGATAGTCGCCCGGATGACAAATATGTTGCTTATAGAAAGGTATGTGCAATGTATTTTTGACTAAATATTTCTGTTGTAACTTTGCCATTTTCTCTAGTTGTTTCTCTTTTCAGTTTTTCTCTCACTAAGATTCCCTTTGTTCTGTTACTGTCAACTGGGTTGGACTGCACAGGGCCTTGGTGTTGTTTGCGACAAAGAAGAAGGATTTGGTGAAGATGATTTTGTTGTGGAGTTTCTGGGAGAGGTAGGGCTTTGTATCTGGTAAAAGATTGATGTGCATATTATGCATATTTGTGTCTTTCGTCTTAAATTTAATCACAGGTTTCCAATGTATCTATCTAAACAATAGTTTTTCTACTAGTCGGGGAAAAGCAGGAAGCTTCCGGGGCATGACTAGTTCCATGTTCTTTTAATATGATCAAAAACAATAATCAACCTAATTGAATCCTACATTTCCTACTGTTTGTAGGAGAATTCCATCTTTCATCACATGGCGTTGCTAATGCCATCTGCTATTCCCCTATGAAATTTTTATCAAAAACATGTGCATATAAGTAGATCTAGCTCAGTGGGTTTCCTAACTTTTATGCAGAAATTGGTGCCTCAAGATTTCTCAAATGCATAATGCATGCGTAGATTTTTATGGCTTCTTCAGCGTTTGGCTTTTCTGGTTTCCCCGGGGATTTGTCTAGGAAGAGGAACCAAATAAAATAATGAAAAGGCTCAAATTAGAATCTATCTAGTACTCTAAGTGGAGATGGCATGTTCCTTTGCTCAATTGATTTATTCAAATAATCCTGATTCATTTTTAAATATCTCAATTAGTTAATTACGGATCCATAAATCCCACATGATAATTACAGAATTAATTATTAAAAATTGATAAATAAAATAAATGAGAATTTTACCATCTAATAATGGATTACTATTCTGGCTTTGCTGGCTGAATTTTTTTTTAGAATGTCTCATGGCTGACTTCTATTATAGAGGGAACAATTAGCATTATGCGGCCATTATTTAGGTGCTAGTTCATGTTAATTGATGTGGCCTTACGGTTTAGTATATCTTCTATGAACAATCTTGTTCAGTACACCTAGTCTTCATCATAATATGCTGTATGATATTGCAATGCTGAGGCGTAATTTTCCCCGCTCAATTCTTTTTATAGGTTTATCCTGTGTGGAAGTGGTTTGAGAAACAAGATGGAATACGTTCTCTGCAGAAAAATAGCAAAGATCCAGCTCCTGAATTCTATAATATATACCTTGAGCGGCCAAAGGTGCTTATTATTCCAGAGTAGAATTCTGTTATATTAGCTTGTATTGTTGGATACTTGATTATACTTCCAGCTTTCTGTTTATCTACTCTTGCGTTGCACATGGCAGGGTGATGCTGATGGGTATGACTTAGTTGTTGTTGATGCCATGCATAAGGCTAACTATGCCAGTCGAATATGTCATTCATGCCGGCCTAATTGTGAAGCAAAGTAAGCCATTATTAGTTGTATTTTTTATTTGCTTGTGATTAAATCCCTTGATCTTTGTTTCTTAATTTAGTGCATTGCTTCTTTTTTTTCTTGGTGGGGTGATGCATATGTATAAGGGATTCTGTCATACTTCACCAAATGAATTTAAATTTCTATTTTTTTTATTATACACATCTTATTGTTGTTTCGTTTCTTTTTTTTTTTTTTTGGTATTATCCATATGAAGTACGTCACAGGCAACAGTCAATTGTTTGCTAAGTCTGAGAGTGGCCCAGGCTTTCCTCGAAAGTTTCAGTGCCTGCAATCTGCTTGTGGCATAAAAAGGCTCTAGAGCAAGTGATGTTCTCTTGTGACTAGCTAATTTCTTATTAAGTAAATTAATAGTTTAGCTTTGGAAGATCACTCTTTCTTCAAATTAGAGACAAAGCCAGGGTCACCTAATGACATTTATGATCTAGAAAATTCAGTTATAGACCGGATCATCAAATTAATGACATTTATGGTGAAAAAAGCCATATTTTGTCCTTTGATGCTAGTAAAATTGTGAGGCTGTTTTTTGACGAATTGGAAGCTATTACCTTTTTAGCTTAGTTATTTTCTTTAGCCTGGGTGGGGCAGCAAAGATGCTGTAGGACGACATCTAACTGATACTAAATTTTGTATGTCCATGTTTAACCCCTCTATTAGACATGGATATTGACTGTGAGATTAAGCAATTGACAATCTCTCCCTCTCTAGCACAATTTCCATTTTTATTGTTTCTGTCTTGAGTTCTTAATTTCACCTGACTTTTGTTACATTGTGGATCTACTTTTTAATTCCCGTTAATCATTTCTTGCTTTCCTTTCTTGCTCAGAGTTACAGCTGTTGACGGTCATTATCAAATTGGAATTTATGCTGTTCGTAAAATACAAAATGGTGAAGAAATCACTTTTGATTATAATTCTGTCACAGAGGTTTGTCTTGCTTTCCACTACCCTTTTATGCTTTAAAGAAAAACAGTGTCTCCTGCATATTGTCTGATAAATACCTCTTCATCTTACTGTAGAGCAAGGAGGAATATGAGGCTTCGGTGTGTTTGTGTGGAAGCCAAGTTTGTCGTGGGAGTTATTTGAATCTGACTGGTGAAGGTGCATTCCAGAAGGTTTGGATTTCTTAGCAACCTTCTTTTGCTTATGGTCACAAGCAAAGATAAAAAATTATGTAAACATTGTTAGCCATGGGTGTGTTTCCTGCGTGTGTTTATAATCTTGCTGGTGTTCACCTGGAGTTTGCAAAAATTATTTGAATAATAGTCATTCTCTTCTAATTTGAGAATCTTTGATCATTTTATCTGTTAACCGGAGTTTGCTGTCCATCCTCTTAGGTGCTGAAAGAGTGGCATGGAATTCTTGATCGACATTATTTGATGCTTGAAGCTTGTGAATTGAATTCTGTCTCTGAAGAGGACTATAATGATCTGGGAAGAGCTGGTTTGGGCAGTTGTTTGCTTGGCGGCCTGCCAGATTGGCTGGTTGCATATGCAGCTCGCCTTGTATGTGGCTATGTTTCCCTTTTGTGGGGCTTTTTTTAACTTTTTTTTTTTCTTTTCTTTTTTCCCCCCTCTTTTTTTCATTTTTATTTCTGCTGTTATTTTTAAATTTTTTCCCCTGACGCTTGCTTGTGGTGAAGGTGAGATTCATCAATTTTGAAAGAACTAAACTTCCTGAGGAAATTTTGAGGCATAATCTGGAAGAAAAAAGGAAATATTTTTCAGATATATGTCTTGAAGTTGAGAGGAGCGATGCAGAGGTTCAGGTTTGCTTACTTCCTTTTTGTTTGCCTTTTAAAAAAAAAAAATTTCCAAGGGATAATGTTTTGGCCCCAAAAAAAGGAGTACTTTGTAATTTTGTATGCTCAATTTTTGAACTGTTTTTCCCATCATTTATTTTTGGTATGGCTCAGGCTGAGGGTGTGTACAACCAAAGGCTACAGAATCTTGCTGTCACCCTTGATAAGGTGATGTTCCTTCCCCACTCTCTTTATTTTTTTCTGTTTTAGAAGGAACATGAGTATTAGTGCTTTGCGGTTAAACTGTGGACACAAAAGAAGGTAAAGCCTTTTTTTTTTTGGTTTTGTTTGGGGGTAAGGGCTGTTAAAAACAGTAGTCTGATGCCTTTGAATATATTAAGCTGGTTAGAATTACAATTTATAGGTTTTCAAATTTCAAGAATTCCACCTATCATGTTTTGATGTTAAGCCCTTCATTATTACACCATTTCATTTAAATTGGAAGTTCGTGCATTGAATTGCACAGGAGATCTCAATCTAGAGTCACGGTTTCTGCAATTATTTTGCTTTCATGTAATTTTAGGATGACATTAATCTTTAATTGTCATTACAGGTAAGATACGTTATGAGATGTATTTTTGGTGATCCACGGAAAGCACCACCTCCACTTGAAAAGCTCAGCCCTGAAGCAGCTGTTACCTTCCTCTGGAAAGGAGAGGATTCATTTGTTGAGGAGCTTCTTCAGTGCATGGCTCCTCATGTTGAAGAAGATGCCTTGAATGATCTGAGGGTCAAAATTCACTCTCATGATCCCTTGGCGTCTGGAGATATTCAAAAAGAGCTCCAGAAATCTCTGTTATGGTAAGCGACTTGCACCTTTAGTACCCTTGTCTTTTGCCTGAATGAATATGCAAAACCTTACCATGTGTTTTCTTCCCCTTATTAAAGGTTGAGGGACGAGGTCAGAAATCTTTCTTGTACATACAAATGTCGGCATGATGCTACTGCTGACTTAATTCATATTTATGCTTATACCAATTGCTTCTTTAGAATACGGGTATGTTGAGTCCTGAAAAGCTGTGCTTACAATTAAAAGTTTCTTTTTTCCCCTTGAATTTAATTTTATGATCTATAATGGCTCCCTTTTCTCGTTGCAGGATTATCAAGCTATTACTTCTCCACCTGTCTATATTAGTCCGCTTGACTTAGGTCCCAAGTACGCTGACAAGTTGGGAACAGGATTTCAGGAGTATCGAAAGACGTATGGTGAAAATTATTGTTTAGGGCAGCTAATTTTTTGGCATAACCAGAGTAATGCAAATCCAGATAATAGCCTGGCCAGAGCTCGCAGGGGTTGCTTATCTTTGCCAGATGTAGGATCCTTTTATGCAAAGGCTCAGAAGCCATCACAGCATCGTGTATATGGTCCTAGGACTGTTAGATCAATGCTGGCAAGAATGGTTAGTTTTGTTAGCATTGTCATTAAGTTCTCCTGTAATATTTTGTTGTGTGGAAAAAAATAACGTGTTCTACATCAAATTCTTTTCAAGATGCACAAATTATATGTCCCTGTATGCCTCTCTGGACAATGCGATTGCGTTTGTTTGAATAGTTTTTTTTAACCTTCATCTGACTGTTAATATGCTCTAGTGTTGTGTGAGATAGATATGTTCTCGTGATTTTGATTTTTTGTGGGGTGGTTGTTAATCATCTTCTGTTTATCCAGGAGAAGCAGCCGCAGAGACCTTGGCCCAAAGACAGGATATGGTCGTTCAAAACTTCTCCGAAATTTTTTGGCAGCCCAATGTTAGATTCTGTTATAAATAACACTCCACTGGACAGGGAAATGGTTCATTGGCTGAAGCACAGAAGAGCCGTATTCCATGCCATGTGGGACAGATGAAATTTTGCATAAGGTTTTGGGGAAGCTGACGTAGCCTTCTGGGCGGAAACTCTTGACATTAGACTATGGAGTGGTTCATTCAACGCTGCCTGCCTCTTTTAGCGTGGGGAGTATGTAATTATTGATCCAAATCATTATTCCTTGAGCCCTCTTTCCCCTCATTCTTGTGTACAGCTTTTCTTGACCTTTGATTTGTAATTCATTTGGTTTTAGGGCATTGTTTTACTCTTATCTAATATGAAATGAAAGGAAGGGAAAGAAAATTGGTCTACTCCAGGTCAATTTCACAGCGCCCCCCCCCCCCTCCATTTTGCCTTTCCCTCTCCTTTGTGGAAACATGGGAAGCGTTTAATTTTCGGTATGCATCATCATGAGTTGACGATAGAGCCTTGCATGGACGTGTCATGTGTGCGGAAGGCTAATAGGGCAGGCAGAAAGTAGCAAGTTGGCCTGCTGATATATGCGGGCTCCTAGCGAGTTGGCTTCTAGGAACCTCCTATTTGTGGCTGATAATCAGCGTTTTGGTTGCGATAAATGTTTTGACCCAAGTTATATCCTTGCCTTTTGTGCGCGTTTCACGGCTGATGTTTTCAACGGATTCCTTAACAATGAGATTGGGCGTCGCACCAGAATTTTAATTTTCAAGATGAAGTGAAATCTGATTTCTGTGAAAGGTCGTATCTATAACTCAGCAAGAGGGGAGAAATTGAGTAAATAAAAATTGTGTTTTTATTTTGGGAAAGGGTGGGGGTGGGGAAGATCGAGAGAGCGAAATAAGTAAAGTAAAACTGTATTAGGTTCTAACCATGCCGCATTTAAAAGCTCATGGCAAGAGTTGAGGCGTGGAGCAGTAGTTGGTATTTGATTTATCAGGAAGCCCGGAATGCCTAGACAATGGATGAAGAGAAAAAGAATATGGTAATAGAGAGGGCGAAAAGAAGGGCATGATCCGGAACAGAGCCGAAGGGGCCATTAAGTCGGTGTTAAAGGTGATGAGGGAAACATCTGACACGTCAGTGTCGGAGCTTGTCTGGGAAGCATCGCCACAAACGCAATGATTGCATTAACACTGCATCAGCTGAAGGGTTCCCTAATTGCCATGAGAGGAGGATGCGGATGGCCTTTCCCGTTCAACTCCGCCATGCGCTCCTCTTTCCCTTTGATCCTGTGCTGGCCGAACTCTTTCTCTGCTTCAGCCTTATCCACCACGTGTTCACCCACGCGCCCCCTTCTCATTCCCCCGCTGTCTCTCACTTGATATTTCAGATACCCCGAAGCTCTCCCTTCTTTTCTACCACCCTCACGACAATCTTACTCCCCGCTTCTTATCTCTATGCACACAGCTCACTATGACTAATCCCCTTACCCTATACAACTTGTGTTCCTTTTCTAACCAGACAAACCTTTGATACAGATTGCTATCGCAATTTAATTAGTTAATCAGTATAGTACACTTGCTTTCCCCTGAAATCATTTGGCACTTGAAATCCGTCCGCATTTAACTCAACCGGGCACTAATATTGAAATGCCCTCTTACGTTTGAAGAGATGCATGGACATGGACAGAATGATCCATAATGTACTATTTATTATCCGCGCGCACATGCTGATCCATGATGTGGAAAACAAGAATATATATATATATATATATATGGGATAAAGAATTACACCTATCAACCGTGCGTGCGTCAACAGGTGTTGCAAGAATCTGTGAATAAAGAAGCCGCCATAGATACACAGACATGTCGTGGCTAGGATTTAATAACACAACATTAAGATTAAGCAAGGGCTGCCTATGCTTTAAAGCGAGGGAATGGCGTGCATGAATGTGGGGATGAAGGAGTTCTCTTTCCATGAGCCTGCGCAGACGCAGAGAGAATGGCCCCGCAGCCATTAGATTAAGATGAACCTCATCCTACGGTGGACGTGAAAACTACTTTAAAAGACAAAAGAAGACAAAAGGACAGAGAAGCAGAGCAGAGGCGGTTTTCTTGGGGAGGAGCTGAAACGGCCAGAAAGCAAACGCAGACAAAAGCACCCACCTCTCTCTCCCCCTTCCGCCACCTCAACGTACCCTAACATGTACGGACCCAATCATCCTCGACCTCCTCACCCCCCCCCTCCCCTCACGTCTTTCTTCTTCTCGTAACCTCCTCTCCTTGCCATCTTTATTTATTCTTCATAGTTCATTCATTCCTTCTTCTACCTCACTCTCATTCCCACTCTTTCTGCCTCTTCTCAATCAACTGGATGGATCGCAACTTTGTCTCAGCCTATTCTGGGCCCGATGACTCCTCCTCCTCCTCCTCCTTGGACCCAATGTTTTCCGGCGTCAGTCTTCAGTCCATTCTCAGCCTCAATCCATCCGTCTTCTCTGATTACGCCGCCGGCACTGGGCTTCCCAGTCTTGCTTTCCTACCAGATGATTCCCTGTCTCTGAATCTGCATGGTGAAGCTGCTCAGGGCTTTAACAGTGATGAGGACCACATGGCAGGGACAAGAGAGAAGAAGCCCACTATCGTGCCCAAACCTGAGCCAGGTCTCTTCGAATACGCTGCCACCTGTGGGATCACTTCTCACCCCTTCGACTTCTTCTCCGGCTCCAGTCACTGCCCTACCAGCCTCTACGATTCATCAACCTTCAACATTCTCCCTCAACTCCATTCCATCGAGTCCTTTCCTCATAAGCGTCCCCGCTTCGACTCTCTCGCTTCCACTCCCAACACCATGCCGGCGGCGCCCCAACACAACCCCGACCCTGCCGCTGTTGGTAACAACTTCTTTGCCATCGCTCCTGCGCACAACACCAAACCAGCCTCTTCTTCGCTGGATGCTCCCTTCGGTGAAAAATCCTCTGCGGCGATTCCTCAAAGCAACCTGGCTCGTCAGCGACGGCAGAAGCTCAGCGATAAGACTCGGTGCTTGCAGAAATTGATGCCGTGGGACAAGAAGATGGACCAAGCCACGTTGCTGGAGGAGGCGTACAAGTACGTCAAATTTCTGCAGGCCCAGTTCAACGCTCTCCAATCCATGCCCTCCGATTCGCCGCCTTTTCTGTCCCACTGTGGTGCTTCGCATTCCCAATCCTCCGTTCAGAACAGCGCCGTATTTGGGGATTTGGAGAGGTTAAATCGCAACCAGGTGTTGCAGGTGCTGGTGAACTCGCCTGTGGCTCAAACAAGGCTTTACTCCCAAGGCTTCTGCGTGTTCTCTGTGGAACAGTTAACTCTGCTGAGCAACATGACAGGGAAGAGGCTTCTTCTGCCACAGATGATGTCTGATAACGCTTCTTCAAAATCCTTCCTTAAGTGATGCATGGCGCTATAGAGGGAGGACGATCTCTCACTGACGGCTGGTGGAGCGTGTGGTGAACGCGCTTCCTTGGAAAATCATTCTTGTTTTGGTGCTGATGGCTGGTAGTTAACACTTAACAATGGCCCTTAGGTTCTAGTTGCTTCTAATTATACGCATGATTTTGTTCTTTTTGATAGGTTTCAAGAGTTTACCATAGAACAAGTGTTAGTGCGTTTTGCGGTTACGAATCCAAAGTCTAATATGATTCCCCTTCCTGCATATAGCTTATCTACTTGTCATCATAATGACCGCTGGTGGGGCGGCGTGTGCGAAAGACGTTTCCTTTGAAAACCAGTAGGTTGGTGTTTACTGTTTACGCTTAGTTAAGGTTCTGCAATTATTATGTCTTTCCCCCATCAATCTCCGAGACTGTTCAGTTCCCTCATGCATCGCTCTGATGATTATTTCGAACTTACTAAGCTCGAACATCGTTCGTCTTGTGCGCAAACTATCCCAAAACAGCGATTTCAACTTACGTGGTTCCCCTTCCCCTGCATCGTCTGAGTTATGACGATGGGCTTTGACGAGAGGGTTTTATCGAGGTCATTGAGTCCGACCCATATTTCTCAAAAGCCCGGAATATTTAGCCAATCTGTTGTTGGGCCTTGTCCCATCATGGCAAGACCCAGCCTGACTTCATTTGGACCTTCTTTTCTACTTTGAATGGTACAAAACTCGACGATGGTGTCATAATTTAAAAGAAACGACGAGTGATGCAAAACATAAAGTCAGCAAAGCCATCCTGCGAGCAGCACCGTAATTGCATAAAATAAAAAAATTGCAATAACACATATGATAAGCATAGGTTTAACAGCTTGAAGCTCAAGGAAAGATGGGCATTTTGGTTTACTTTTTTGTTGGCTACATTTTAAAAGAAGCGCAAATTATAGGCGCACGAGCTCAGACTCAATGACTCGGTTTTACCCTTTTGGGCCTGCTTTTAAGGACAAGGGTTCGGATTGCTGCGGCGCTGGGAGAGAATTTTCAAAACCCAGGTAAGTCTGATGGGGTGATCACAAAATGCTACAGGAGCAAAGATGTGCTATATCAAGATTTTGGAGTTGACCAAAAAAGTTAGATCTAGCAGAAGGGACTAATCTCTTAAAACATGGCAAACTAAGATTTGAAGGCTTGCTAGGAGAATTATTCACATTTAGTATCTGACGGTGTTTCGAATAGGATTGTCTCCATAGGAAGATACTATACTTAGGGAAAAAAAAAGATTTTGGACTTGGCCCAAATGAGAAACAATAGCCCAGTGCACATTCACTGCCACGTCACCGCCACGTCATCGTCACGTGTCATGAAAGATTATGTCTTTTTATTGGGAAAGACGATTTGGGGGTGTTTGGATGCAAACCAAATCATGGTTTCAGAAGTGATTTACAGTCTACGAGGTAATATATGGATGAGTTATCTCGATTTACGAAAAGTGCTTCTGAGAATCACTTTTTGAGTATCCAAACACTCCCTTGAAATGGAATGGTTGCACCCAGCTTCCACGCATATTATTATTTGGTATAGGATCGAGGTATTTTCTCGTAGAAGAGATTTTCTTGCCTAGGAGGCCCTACACTTTAGGCTAGGGACGAAAGGTCTTAACGTCTTCTTCAATAAATAAAGCTTTCTCGAAGTTTGCCCTGTGATTCTTAGACGTTTTTTTTACTTATTCACTGAACGTGGATCAACCTTTCGAACATGTATAAATTCAAGAACATCATGGACTGACAAAAGGGCAAAGAGACATTTGGTGCCCATATGTTTTTAGTCGCCTCGAAATGCTGAAACAATACATGTTTGTACTTATAATCTAATAGCGTCTTGTAAGTGGAGGTTTACAGAAGGTTTACAGTTTGATCTCACTTCTAACTTTAGATTATTGGTGTTTATCCCTTTAATTTGAAAAAAAAAACATTACATGTCTGAACTTTGAAGGCTGTAGCAGGCAACATAATGGTTCTGAAATTATAATAGCAGAAACAAGTGATATGTCAGTCCTGCATCGTCAAAAGTCAAAGAAACGAGAAAATTTGTCACAGGTCTCATAATTGGGCCCTTATGTAAATGTCTATCGCCACTACTGAATGAGCTGGTTTACACTGAATAGTTTAATACCCAGCTTTCTCCTCTATCAAGGGAATCAGAGGCCGAAGGAGAAACAAGACAAGCAAATTAAAGTTTGCACTGTGGATTAAAAGAAGCTTTCACGCTCCTTTCCCACCCCCTTCCAATCCCATTCTGTACACTTTTCTTTACTCCATATATATATATATACACACACACACACATACACACCCGATACTTCTTTTTTCCCATCCTCTAGATCTCTTTTTTGAAACTTAAAAGCAAGGAAACCTGAAAACAGATAAACTCCTCGGAGAAATGGCAAGAGGGGCAGGCGTTTTTCTGTGTTTCTTGATCGTAGTCATGGATGGGGCAGCTGGGTATCTTGGCATCAGGGCTGAAAGTGAACAAAACAAGGTATGCTTGAAGCTCCCTCTGTTTCCAAATTGCAAGCAAGAAGAAACAAAATACACACAACATCGCAAGTACATCTTGAATGCAGCAAAGTCTATAACTAATTCGTCCGAGATGTTTTGAACAAGCAGGTTAAGCACTTGAAATTGTGGATATTCGAGTGCAGAGAACCAAGCCATGAAGCTTTCCTGTTGGGGTTAGGTGCAGCAGCACTTTTGGCAATAGCCCATGTTATAGCCAATATGCTTGGTGGCTGCGACTGCCTTTGTTCTCAACAAGAGTTTGCAAAGGCTCCTCCCAATAGACAACTCTCAGTGGCTTGCCTCATTCTAACTTGGTATGTATCTTTCCTACTACAGGTTTTAACCATATTATTGCATACTAAGCAAATCTTCCCTTCTGTTTTCTTTCTATCTTTGTGTGTGTGGGGATCAGGATTGTGATGGCCGTTGGAATGTTCATGCTGGTGATAGGAGCTTTGTCCAACAACAAGTCAAAGGATTCGTGTGGTTTCTCACACCATCATTTTCTGTCCATTGGAGGGGTTGTGTGCTTTGTTCATGCCTTGTTCTCTGTAGCATATTACGTTTCTGCAAATGCCTCTGTTGATTAGTGACGCTGACTAGGATACATCTGGAGTCCACTATTATCTGCTTTTGTGTTTTGGCTTCTTTCCTATCCTTTAGATGTTGATGTTACTTTATGGACTGTCCATTTCTATGCTACTTTCACCGAAAGAAAAGAAACCTGCGACCGTTTCTGAGGCCACCAAAGACCAAACTGCTCTTCCCAGTGTAAATGTGTGATTATTACAGATGGTGGTCATTTTTTTTTTTGGCTTTTCTTCCCGCAAATTTATCTTCATAGCACAGTCATAGAGATAGTGCTTACTTTACCTTTGTATTCTTTTTCCTTTTTTAAGCAATTAGTCACTTAGTTGGCAGCAGAATCTCTTTGCAGTGAACATTAAAATGGGAATGTAAATGAGAATAGATGTGTTTGAATTTCTAAATTGCAATACTGTATATGGAAGAAAATAAAACAAGGAAAACGAGAATAAGTGGGATTCATCACAAAATATAAAATTTATAAAATCAGCACTATTCATAAATGCGAACATTGCGGTTTCTTTGACAAAATCATTAGTTGGGTTATGTGGCCTTTTCTTTTAATATTCTTTTAATTTTCCACACTTTCAATACAGCCAAAAATATCACGGGTATGATTTTCAAAAAACTTGCAATTTAGTTGTGTTTTACTACATATTTTTTCATGCTCATTATCACTCATGCATTTTACAGTAAAAAGATTTAGCTTTGATAAAAATATCAATTTTTTCTTTTTTTCTTTTTGAAACACCGTGTGCTCTAAATTATAGATGTAGAGGATGTAAAAGCATGTCTGAAGCGCAAAACGCAAAGCTAACCGGTCTCAAAGGCGAAAGCGGTTTTTTTTTTATTTTTTTTGGCCGAGAAAGACGAAAGTGGTTAAATAAAAGGGTTCTCATCCTTTATCCAAGTTGCATCAAAGGCAACTGACAGTTAACCATATTTTGGGGCTATGGTTCGTTAATCGAAGTTTATTTGTCTTGCAATGCTGAAAAGCCGTTTGACGTGAAAAGGTTCAAGGTATTAGCTGTTTAACAGTACTCCTCAAAAGACCTGCAATTCGCTATCCCAGAAGACAAAAAGCACAGAGCGGTGCGTTAGGAGAAATATAGATGAATTAAATAGAAGGCCCTATTCGAAAGACAAATCCTAGAAAGTATGTGCGTTCATTTCACCGAAAAATATGGTTAACAAAAATAAGTGTCTGTCTGTCTTTGTAGCACTGAGCTGAGAAGGGAATCAAAATTCTAGGACAAGCAGGGTCTATCCATGTGGTCGGTGCATATTTTATTTATACGGTCACATGCCAAATACTCTTCCAATCCTAAATATAAGACCCATTTTATAGTATATATATAAGTTTTATATTTAGAACGGGAGGAGTTGGAGTTTTTAATATCCTTCCACAGCCAAAGCAGAAGAAGGAAGGACTATTAGGCATAAAAAAACAGATTCAATGCAATTCCGTCAAGCGAGATTCTCCTAAAAGATCACTTCAATTGCTCGAATCTGTGTCCATTTGGCTGTCGTGATACTGAATCTTTGGTTCACATCTTTGTTTCATGCCCTTTAACTCGCTCCATTTGGTTTGGAAGTTTTCCTGCCCACAGCTTCCGTAGTTTTCAACTCTGGCTCAAGGAGAGCTTGTTAAATCTACATAGAGATGAGCTCACGCTAATTATGAAGCATATAATAGTGCTGCTGAACGTTATTTGGAGGAAAAGGAATTTAATTCTTCATCACAGATAGCTCCTTCACCTCTATATCAGTGATTAAAAATTCAGCATCCCCTTACCTTTGCAGCTCTCGCTTTTCAATCTGATAATACTCCATGCTGCTCAAGAGAGTCTATTCCAATTTCTAAGAGAACTTGGCAATGCGCCAAGATCTGTCAGGCAAGAAGGCTGGACCATCATTATGCGCAAATGTAAATACGGAAAGAAAGCTCATTGCGAAACAGGGATTGTTTTTGAGGGACAATCTGTACAAAAATGTCCTCTGGACCACTCCGGCTTGTCTTATTTTAGAGTTGAATTGGATCCGGAATTCAGTTTTCTATTGCAACTCAAGGAACCAAAGCCTGGAAGTTTTTGTTTTAAGAAGCAGTTCCAACTTCCGACTGTGATCCATCAAGACACCTTGCCTTTACTAAATTTATTTTCTCTTTCTAAGGTTCAGTAGCATCTGGCATAAGTTCTGAAGACCTTTTTTCTTCAAACTCATGTCTACAGTCCTTGTATGCTGAACCTTTTGTATTAGCTTTTTACCGATCCATTTTGACCTTTTAGGGGGAAGAAAGGATAGCACTCGTGGTTCTCGTCTGTTAACATGTTTGCCACAAACCAGGAACCATAATCATCATCGGTTTCAATATCAATATTTAAAGTTGCTGGAAGATGGAACTGTAGGTGAGACGATTCCCAGCAACAAAGAAATCGAATAACTTTGGGCGCTGCTTCGTCCCAATGTGAGCTTAATTAAGGCTTACTTTGCAATCGAAAAATTGACAAGAACTCGTACTTTCAATACAAACTCATGCTCTCATTCCCACTCATATTACAGTTCAGAGGTAATCGACTAATTGTCCTCCAATTGACCCAAGGTAATTGTCAATGGCCTCTGAAGACTGAAATCAAGACAAGAATCTGATCGAGAAGGAGAATTAGGAATGAGACTAGTTTGTTTGGACTGCAATTTGTAATGCTAATCATCTTATCTGGAAAGCTCATCATCATACAGAAGGGGGGAAAAGGAACAGCCTCCGACGATCTAAACACAAAAACCAATCAAACCATCCTGAAAGCTTATTGTTCATAGCAGATTATGTCTACCATAACTCAGTTCCCTTCATCTGCCTCTCGTAGTCCATTTCAAAGGTCATGAACACGAGAAAATGCTCGCCCGGATAGAAGACCCAATTGAACTAGCCAAGAAAATAATGGCCCCATAATTCTTTCCCTTAATCGCAGGCTATTCCGAAAGTCATAAACTAAGAAAATACTCATTCAAGTCATCACATTATTCATATGTTAAGACGAATGGGTTAAATAAACCTGTCGAATACAACCACAATGCAAAGGCATTTGTCTGACACCAAAAGGGGGAATATTCATTTCTTAGTAACATAGCTTTCAAAAATCAAACCAGAATCAGTACATACAAATATAAAGCAAGCAAAAGGTGTTGATCCATTAGTAACTCGAAAAACTATGTCTGCCATGAAAATTCCAACAAAGTATTTATCTCCTCTGCAAAAAAACCTACAATGGTTACTCTTCATCAAAAAATCCTATGGCACCAAACTATATTTCTCAGAAAGTCGTAATGGACCTCACCGTGGCCAGGGTAGTTACTACATCGATGATTTTATTACAGCCAGTGCTAGTTTTGCGCTATCATGAATCAATTCCACCCTCTTTAAGTACAACAGAAATTCATCCTTCTGCAATTCCTTCCCTCTTCGTTCCAACTCCTTGGCCTTCGAACTCCCGATCAAAGGTATTGCTTCCTTCACAATGTCCATGGCAGATTCAGGTAACGAAAGCTTCCCGGAGACCAGAAACCCATCCAAGACGGACGATTTAGAGCATGATTTTGCTGGTATAGCATTCACGTCACCATGTGGCTCATCTTTATTCTCAGCTATTTCCCGCTTTGGCGATACTACAGTAGAAGAATTCTTGCCTTTGCTCTGGGTTGGCTTTCTCTGATCCACTCCATTAGCAGCTGCAGATTCCCAAACTTTTTTGGAAAGCTCAAAAATTTCGCGATCACGCGGCTTAGAGAAAACAGGGTCCTCACCATTTTCACCCTTTCTTGCATTCGTTTGGAATTTCCTCTTCAGACTCCTGATTTTGTTCACTAATTGTATCTTGGATACATCAGCATGGATCTTATTCTTCATGTATTCATGAAACAACGACATCTCAGAGCATGGGTCAACACCTCTCTTTGAATGGTAATCGATCATGCCCTTTAAGATCGCGATCTCATCATCCTCATTCCAAATACGTTGGACACCAGATTCCTTTTTTACATCGTCATCTTGACTTTCCGATACCTTCTTCTTCTTGGACTCTTTCTTCTCCGCGTTGCTCTCATTAGAGCGCTTTGAGCCTCCGGCAGCGACGATCGTCGCTGGCACAGGAGCCGAATTGTTGTTGGTAGCATGCTTCATAGATTTCGTGGAGTCATTGATTGGCTTGCTAACAATGGGCTTGATAGTGAAGTCCGACACGGACGGCGAGGGCTGAGTGTTGTCGGACTCGGTTTCGGATTCCTCAGCCGATTCATCCTCAGCATCGCCCTCAGACTTTCCATCTTCGCGCTCTATGTCGTCAGAAACACCGTTGGCTTCCTCTTCAACAGCATCGCTCTCTGATTCTTCCACTTCATCTTCTGCAGAAGAAGCAGCAGCAGCAGCAGGAGGCGAGTCTTGAAGGCGACGCTTTGGAGCCATTTTGAACGGAACGAAAGGGATAAAGACGTTTTGGAATAACGGGACAGCCGGCCGAATTGTAGCAGGGGCAAGGGCGGTGCCGTTGCACCGGGCTTCTTAAGATTTGTCTCCTAGGGTTTTAACCTTGTGAGTTTTTTCTTTTACTTTATTACAGGAAAAAAGGTCTCTGACCATCTTTAGTCTTTTCTTTGATGCAAATTGAAAAAAGGGTTTCAATTTGGTATGAGTTTGTATGACATCTTATTTTGAAGCTTTTATTTTGTCAAAGTTTTTGTTTTCGAGTAATTTTTAAAATATGATCAAGAGTTTCTTTTTAACATCATTATTAATTTTTGTTGGCAAAAAACATCATTATTAATTTTTAAGTTCGGTATTAATTATTTTTACACATTAATCATTTAATTATCACAACTTAACAAAAACTTGAAATTAACTATACATATACAAGTAATACAACCACTTGTGTCGTCAAAGCCTCCCTTCTCAGACCAAATTTACATTATTTATTATCATCCCCGATCATAATTATAAGAGCTAGTTGATTAATTCAAGGAGATTAAAAAAATAAGTTAAATTAGTTATTTGGAATAAATATGTATTGTTTTTTCTAAAATATCTTTGTTAATCAAGTGTGTTTGCTAGAATTACCATTATTAAAAGGTTACTTTAAAATAAATAAATAAATATAAGAACAAACTGGATTAAAATTTTATATTTAAGACCAAAATAAAAACCAGACGAGATTTTATATTAAGAATCAGAGATAATAATTTATTTGTCATTTAGAGGCTCTAATATAATAAATGATAATAAGGACAGAGGTTGTTTACTCCCCCGCCCCCCCTTTCCCTCTCTGTTTTTACCTAATCTATTGATCAAAATACTCCTATTCTTGTAACGTTTGAAATTTGAAGTTGAATTGAGAACTAGCAGCTTCATTGTACATACTGGAAATTTATATATAAATAACTAAGTTTTCATATTTACAACCATATTGTTGATAATTTTTTAGTTAATCTCCCAAATTTTAAAATGCAAATAACACATGAATCAGGTTTCAAATAATTGCAAATGGTTTTTAGAATTTTACAAATTATTTGTATCGTAGATCAGCTAGCTTCTGCTAGAAGGAAGTTGATTGAAGAAATTAGATTGACTTGTTTTGTTTAGAGTTTTTACTATAATAAATTTCAGTTCAGTATTATTCGGAAAAACATTACAAATTGTTGCGTTTTCAACCAAAGTATGCCGTTTTAGTCCGCGGTTTTCCTTTTGGTGATAACTGATAAACAACCTTAATCTTTCCATGGGGGTGGGCGGAAAACAAAGAAGCACATAATCTCTGGATTCCAATTTATTACTCCTCCGGTCCTTAATATAAGACCCAATTGGTAAGTTGGTTTTGGTTCTAAATATAAGACCCATTTATCATATTTATCAATTATCTCTAAATTACCCCTATAGATACCCTTTCAACCATAATCAAGTAGAAGAGAAAAATGAGGTATTAAGAAATATGATTATGGTATTTTAGGAAAACGTGTCATATTTATTATAATTAACTAATTTACCTAACTTCCTTAATCTAATCAAATTAATTAAATGGGTCTTATATTAAGGATCGGAGGAGTATTTTAGAATAATTGGAGCAATTTATTATTAATACACTCGTGTGGCTAACTATCACTAACTTTTTCTCACAGTCCTCTTGATCCTAGACTCTTTCCCAATATGCCTCGTTCACCTTTTAACATCGGCCTATAGTGAAAATAGATCACATTTCTCATGTATTATCTCATTTATGTTCTTCACCCTCTTCTTTCTTCCGCATAATATCATCAAGCAGTAAGGTTCTTCATAAATCACCGTGAAAATAGTGTTTTTGGATATTCCGCACAACTTCGAAGTCAGGTGACATCACCAATATGTAATTATGGTATTGCTATTTCCCATGTGTAGAAACCATCGCGCAGTCTGTACACATCTTTATAATAAATCCTCTGCAGAAATTTGCAGGATGAATGTTGTTCAATCCAACATGATTAATAACCAAATAAGGATACTAAAAACACATTCATCTCATCACACCAAGCACCGAAGCATGATTCCGACTTCTGCTCAAGGTTCCAACAAATGTCTGTTCCCCAACGTGTTAGGAGGCAGGTAGGAAAGATAAACTAGACATTACATAATTAGCCCATAGCACATGTTGCTTTACAATATATATGCTCCTTCAACATCTTTTAAGCACAGAACTTGTTCGCGAAGCCAAATTTCCCTTTATTTTGCTGGCATTCGTACCTGAAGCGCAGAGCAAGGTCTAAGTCAATAATGACTATGGTGATGATGATGAGCTTTCATCGTCGGAATCGGAGAAACCCATTCGCCGCTCTGCAATTGCGGGGAATAGTCGCCGATGAATATCATGTGGCTGCCGAGTCTCTGGAACAGATGATACGGTTGGACTCTCTTTCTTGGAAGCCTTTGCTGATTTCATGTTTGTGTCTTGAACCTCTTTACATGCCTTATCCAGCATTATCAAGAAATCGCGCACCACCACGAACAAACGCAATCCTTCGTCTCTTCCTGCAGTCCCATGGAAATAATCGCCCGTGCTCTTTACCAGAGCCATTATCCTCTTCTCTTCCTCCAGCAGCCATGTGATCTCTGACTCTGCTTTCTCCACAAAACATTCCAAGCAACGATGGAATTCTGAGTCTTCATCAAGACTCCTCATCTCCTTGTTGAGGAACTCTTTGGCCTTCACTAATGACTGGCCAAGCTTTGAGACTGTGGCTGTTATGCCTTCACCGTCTACAACTGCCGCCTTTTTGACGTCTTCCAGCTCCTCGCCTAAACCTGAAACCACCTGAAGACCCAGCCTGCGATAATGCTCTGCTGTTGATTCTTCATTGGTGTCATCAAGGAAATCTTCGGTTTTCACACTAGACCCGCTGGTTTGGTTAGCTTTCTGTGTCCGTACAGCTCTTATGCCCTCAGATCGTATAATCTCTTGGACGACGAAGTGTAATAGGGTTGTTTTGCCATCAATTCCTTTTACATCAGATAGTTTCAGTAGTGTGTCAAGCTTAAATGCCTGAGCACCGCCACGATAGGTGCCATCATTCATTCGGTTGCCAGTTTTCAGAACTGCTTCTAATAGTTTCAGGAATAACCTGCTTTTTCTGAGGTTGTTGCAGGCAACCTGCCATTCAGATATAGCAAACAATAAGCTTACATTGCTCTTTGTTCTTGGTCCTTTTTTTTTTAATGGTAACTGTTAAATATATGAATAGATCATATTCGACGTAAACGTAGGAATCTCATTCATACCTCTAGTGTTGTAAAGGACTCCTTGAGACTCGTGACCTCTTCTGTAAAGGTAGTCATGAACATCAAAGATTCTAGGCGTTTGAAAGCGAAGGGAATGTCAACCAACACCTTGAGAAATCTCTCAGCAGGGCCAAGTTGATTTAGGTCGCCAGTGAATAGTCTAAGTTTTAATTCCTCGTCTGCTGTTAGCGTCATCCTCAGCAACGCGTGGATGATCTCAGCCGGAATCTCACTTCCTGATTCAAATTTAAACCCACAGATTGAAAGTGATTCTTGCTTTGAAATGCATGAGTGCGACTTCAAAAAGTAACAACATGAGGAGATTTAAACAGAACTGCTCCCAAGTCCTCACTCATAACAAAGACATAAATCTGCAGAGTGGCCATTGGGTCATTGCAGAGTTTCAAATTAATGGCCTAAGTTGTTAGATCCAGTAGCATACTCAGGGACGTGTTTTTGCTATTTAATGTTGGTGATAAGTGAATAAATCAGTCAGATCAGAAGCAGTTCGCACAGAATAACTTCTCCGCGGCAACATATATAATATGCAAAATATAAAGAGGGATTAGTGATATTTTATTTTTCTTTGACTGTTTGTTCATTTAGCTTTTAAATTCTCATTTATTTTTAAGAAATTTCAGGCTGGTTCAATTTTGAAATTGGCAAAAAAGTTTAACAGAAGCAAATGAAGGCATGCTTATAAAGAATTAGTCACTTCATTGGAGCTAAACTAATTTTTTTCCTACATGCAAACTGAACACTGCCCTTCAAGACTGAAGAATGTCACCTTCTTCAAGGGCATCAACAACTTCTTCCGTTGTCACATTCAGCGCTCGCAAGAGAATTGATAGATTCTGTGCTTTTCTAGGGTCAATAATCTGAATGTATTGAATTGCAGGTTCAAGTGATGCTTCTTTCTTGCGTTGATTTTTGTTCTGGTTGCCACAACCAAATAAAGACTCGATCATTTCCTCATTGAACCTGAAAATGGTCATGAGGATCAGTAATTATGTTAGCATAATTTACTTCAGTTATTCATGCATAATGATAAGTTAGATTTTGGCAGGACTATTGGTCTTACTGGAATGATCCCTGATTGATTTGTTGCCAAACCATGCCTTGATCAGCTTTGTTAACTTTATCCCAGAAAAATGGCTTCAATTTGGGTTTTGGAGCATCACATTCACCGCCCTCTCTAGAGTTGCCCTGTGCTTTATTTTTACCTTGAATTGATTTCCGGGGAATTGGCGGAACCTTAGCTTTTGGAGGTGGAGGTGGTGGGGCACGAGGAGCAGCTGGCGGCGGTGGGGGCGGCGGCTGAGGAGGCGGAGGAGCTGATTTTCCCGGAGGTGGTTTCAGAGGAGGGTTAGCCATTTGTTCAGTAGACGATGTTGTTGTCTCAGTTAGTGAGCCGCCGCCACCTTCAGAGTTTGCCATCAGACCGCCGGTCGTAGTATATACTTTCTTGTCATGCTTTTCCAAAACAACAGCCTTCTGCGAACCTGAAACAAGAAATGAAAATATAACAATAAAAAGATCAGAGGACCCATGTAAACGGATTCAATGGGCTAATGTTAAGGACCAAACATAAGCTTACCAGAAAAAACATCTGCGGAGGCTAGTGTGACTGTAGCCCGGTCGCCTTTGTGTGCCTCTGTTGGGTCGTCGACTTTGTTGGTTCCGGCACCCCAGCAGAGGCAGATTAATAATAATGCTGCGATTGCACATACCGTTACAGCAGCAATAAAAATTAATTTTAGCATATGATTGCCGTTATCACCTTCAGGAGGAGGAGGAGGAGAGGAGTCTAAAGGCACAGATGGGGGAGTACGTTTAGGAGACCTAGGTGGTAGTGGCGATTGATGTGGCATAAACTCATCTGGTGAAAGAGAACCAGAAGGGGAATCGTCAGATGGAGAATCAGAAGACTTTGTGTCATGGCTTGGTGATTCACTTGCAAGACCAGGAGACGGAGATGACGGAGATGGAGACGAAGATGACGGAGATGAAGAAGGAGAAGGAGAATGAGAAGGAGTAGTGCTTGGGGGAACTTTGTCAGCCGGTGAATCAGCAAGCAGGTGCCTTTCACAGCCACTGGTCAAGTACGTGGTAACCACAGGTGGAGAGGCAGCATTATTGTCTAGAGAAACAGGAGCATGGGAAGTTTTGGTTTTGATGCAATCCAGGAAGTTTTGTTCGGACTGGAGTCCCAGAAACTCAGTCGCTTGGCGTAGGATGTCCTCAACTCCAAGTGAAGGCCCCAGGTCACTGCCCCCTGCTTCTGTTGGATGCAACTCAGAATCTTGGTTCCCATGGCTCCTCGCTGCCAACTCTTTCCTACAGTGTTTCCAAGCTTGCTCTAACTGTATCAACCAACTCATGCAATATTTCTCGTGTTAGTATTTTTGTCTGATTCTTTTGCAAATTTTTATAAACATATTTTTCGCATGAAGTTAGCAATCATAAGAAGTGAAAGGTAAAATTAGTAATTCATTAAAAAGTTGTTGCATGCACAGCACACTTTAACTCGTTAGTATAGTACTACATTTTTTGTTTATAAACTAATATAATCTCTCGTGCGCCGTCTAGGGTATAAAATTAAAATGAATTACTAAGTACGGTTTTAAATATAAGAACTAATTGATTAATTTGAGTAAATTAACAAAATAAGTTAAGTTAATTATTTGTAATAAATATATGTTATTTTTTTTAAAATATTCTTGCTAATCAAATTTATTAGTTAGAACTATTATTATTACAATAACTATCTTTTAAAAAAATCAATAAACATAAGAGACAAAATAAATTAAGATTTTATATTTAAGACTAAAATAAAAATTAAATAGACTTTTATATTAAGGATTGGAAGTAGTATTATATTACGATAGGAGATAATAATATCTAGTCTAGGATGTAAAATAGATTTCTCAAAATTTCAACCTTGCACATGCTTCGCAAAGTAATAGCAGCAGGGCATGTATTGGTCATGGTTGGGCAAACGAAGTCCACCTTATACATACGGAGATACATTGTATTTCGAAGTTCAAACAGATCATGGTCCACCAATCCTACTAACTCCACACGTAATATGTACGTAGGCTTGCCTATGTAACAGACATGCACAATACTAGGCTTGATATTATTAGCAGATGAACGAGTTTTCGTCTCGAAGACACATTTCGTCCATTCATTTAGATCGAAATAAAAATTCCTCATTACAATCATGAAAAGGGGGGAAAACCAAAAAGATGGAAAACAGAATAAAGCTCTATCAGATCGAAATTCCAAGGAATTAAAAGACGTCAAAATGAAATGAGAAAAACGAATGTTTGAAACAGGCAAGCATATACCTTTTTCCCATCTTCAAGAAGTGACGACGACAAATGACATTCTTCATTGAGAAACTCCCGCAGATTCCACCTCTTACCTTCGCAGCCTCCTTTAGCCAACGCGCAAAGAAGAATCACGTAAATAACAGCATAACTGGATCTTGACATCTCCATTCCCTTTTCATCCCATTGAACCTGAAGATTCTAGCACCTCTCTAGAGCCTGCGATTCATAAGCTTTTAAAGAAAAGTGAAGCAAAAAGAGCCGCTTTCCTCTGTTTCCAAGGTCACGCCTTGGGGAAAGCCTCTGGGTCTTGAGAACGCAGAACCAGGTTGAAACGCGATAATAATGATCGCAGAGGAAGAGAATGTATCAAGAATTTGACAGAACAAAGGATTCCGTGCGCTTGGTGTATGTTGATAATGCAAAGCGTCCGGCGAAGAAGCAATCAAATGAAAATGCAGAAATGAATTAAGGAGCAAGTACTCGAACCACAGCCTAAAACTTTGCTGAAACTTTAGGAATGGATTCAGCAAATTTTTTTCCTGCAGGTTCGAGTGCAAGATATTCTCCTGCAAAGGAGGGAATTTGTTCGTGCCAGAGTTTCTTGTCCTTCGGTGCACCTAGAGGAGAGAGAAAGACAGCGACGCGTTGAGACGTGAGGAGAACAATGTGGGACGCCCATGATGTCTTGAATGATTTTTAAAAAACAATCTGTTATTGTTATTAATTTATTACTTCTTTTAATTTGATTGTTTCTTTGAGGGTTTTTAATTTTACGATTCCTCCCCAGTATTTTTTTTTAAAAAAAATCTTGCCCTTGCTGTTATAATTCCAATGCCTATTATTATCTTGTGCGGGAAAATAAGTTATAACAGTGAGATTTTTCTTTTGAGTGGATAAATAAAAGCTTTCTCTTGAATATTTTCCTTTTATAAAACTAGATTTTTATTTAGTTTGAAAAGAAAATAACCCACAGACACAAATATTTTATGATTATAAAATTCATCTACTGCTATTATTTTATTTGCAAAATTCATCAGCTGTCTTTCCACATATATTCTTTGACCAAGATAATTTAAAATTGATCCCATACATCTTGTGCAGTTTGTATTTAGAGGCGGCAAAAGAATTATCTGCAAATATAGGGACCATATTTTAACTGGCAGTTTCTGTAACTGAAAGTTTAAAGAATTGATGGAGAAGTAGGAAGATAATCCATATTTTAAGCATGTTTTTCAACTGACCGGAAAGACAATGACCATTATTAATCTCTCTCTAAACTCTGTCACAACGTCTGCAAAACAATATCAATTATTCTCCTCGATCGTGTCCAGGCACCAAATTCTCAGTCCTTAAATATAAAGAGGACTGAGTTTTATTTTCAGACTAAACTTCATTTTAACTTGAAGTCTTCAACCTGATATGCCATTTCGTGCCTAGATCAGAATCATACTGTATGCATGGGGCGGTTTATAATTTTAGTTAGAACCACAGCAGCATGATTCTGCGGCCTAGACCAAATAAAATCAACCATGAAGGAGCTTTTAGTATCCATACACCCTGATTAATTAGAAGGTTGTTAATTACATTGAATGCTATAAAGAACTATGCCTCCAACCATAAAGAATTTTAGGATTTAACATCAAGAGTTTATTGTATTTGAAGGTTGGAAAAAAATGTTGACGTATTTGCCTGTGCCAGATTCAATAATGTTTAATGAGGCATGTAACGTTCATTCCAGCTATATATACATAAATGCGTGAATGCTGTGTGATGACCACAAGCTTGGGTACCTAACAGGTATTTTCGTGTCTTCATAATATTCCCCCTCGCTGAGAATGAGTCCTTGACGGTGATTGAAAGTTGTTGCTTTGTAATTTAAAACATTCTTTGAAGTCGACGCATGTAGCATTCACTTTCCTTCCGGGGAGTAAAAGGTTGACATGTTAAGTCAGATTACATTAATAAATACAACCATGGGGATGTAGCTCAGATGGTAGAGCGCTCGCTTAGCATGCGAGAGGTACGGGGATCGATACCCCGCATCTCCAAAAGAAGTTTTGATTTTGATTTTTCTTTATTATTATTATTTTTTCAAATCCTCCATTTTCTTCCTCCGTTTCTCGCTACTTACAAACTTAATTCCCCGGTCAGGCGGTCACCACCGTCTTACTTTAAGCTCTAGTAATATACTTTGCCTTTACCCTCTTGCTGTGCTTCTCCTTCATGAATGGCACCTTCTCCTACTCAAATCTTCATGCACCCCGTCACTCATTGGCCGGAACAAGGTTTTATCCGCCCGGTCACCTCTTTACAATGCGGAACCGTTTTGCTGTCACTCGCCAATACCAGATCCTACGGAAGTGCCTGCAACTTCATGTCCACACAATCACTTGCGGTACTCTGGTACACAACAACTATCTGAATACCAAGCTCACTGCCTGCTAAGCTAGTTGCGGTCGCATGGCTGAAGCTCAGGTAATATTCGAACAAATTGTCTTTAAGACTTCTTTTTTATGGGATTTCATGATTAAAGGTTATTCCTGTGACGGGAACGCATTAAGGTCTCTTGTTCTGTATCGTCGAATGTTCAGTGTTGGACGAAAGCCAGATAATTTTACCTACCCATGTGTTCTCAAGGCGTGTGGTGATCTACTACTGAGTGAAGTTGGCAGAAAATTTCATGCATTATATTGGTATTGATTACTGGCTTGGCATGTGATGTTTGCTTTTAATGTATCCCAAAGTTGGGTATATGGAAACGGCAAGAGTGTTGTTTGATAATATGCCTGTGACGGATTTAACATCTTGGAACACTATGATAGCGGGTTACGTGAAGAATGGAAAAGCAATAAGAGATGCTTTTATACTATTTGATCACATGAAAAAACTGCTGGATTTCGTGGAGATGAAACGACTTTACTTGCTCTCCTGTGGTTGTGGTGATCTCATGAATTTAGAAGTGGGAAAGACTATTAATGGTCATGTTGTTCGAAATAGTGGTAAGTTATGCAGCAAGTTCTAACGAATTCCCTAATTGACATGCACTGCAATTGTGATTCAATATCTGATAAGAATTAAAAATGAAGGATACTATATCATGGAATTCTTTCATTTCAGGTTATGAACGACATGGAGATGCTTTGAAACCTTGAAACTTTTCTGTCAAATGATCGTGGAAGATGTAGTTCCTGATGAAGCAATTATTATTTCTATGCTTGGTGCTTGTAATGAAATCTTGGCATTACTGTTGGGCTCATCTATTCACTCATACATTGTTAAAAATGGTTTCTAAGCTCATGAGTGGAGAAATCATCATGCGAAATATTCGTAGGTTTCACCGCTTTAGAGATGGAGCATGTTCATGCAGTGATTATTGGTGAATTGATGAGAGCTTAACGAAATAGTTGGTTGAACCCTATAATTTTAGCACTGTCATAGTGCCATGCTACCTTTACACCTGACATTATGCTCAATGTAGAGTGGAATTAAGCTAAGACAAGCAATGCGTGACCTGCTGAACAAGTTCTACGATCTGCTTCCGGCATCAGAACTTTGTTCTGATCTCCTCGTCGTAAGACATCATGCTGAAAATGGCATAGTGACGAGGTAGAATTCTTGCAGTGAACACGACAGCGTTGGCAAATAATTGATTGGCAGCAGAAGGAAGAAAATGTTTATCTGAGGCGTCGTGAAATTTACTTTGACTGCTACTTGAGTTTCAATCTGAGAAATGCTTTGTTGGCCTGGCTTCATCTCTAGGTTGTTGTCACCATGATTTAATCATTTTTTTGGGACACCGTGTTAAGAAGAACTTCCCTTTCTCTGGGAAGTATGTGCCATTTGATTTCAAAAATAAATCGTCAATATTTAAATAGAAAGTAGCAAATATCAGAATTCTAATTGTAAATACTTGAAGTTGAACCATAAGAATTATTATTGATCGGAAAGAATATATATACAAAAGTGAGCTAGAGAGCCGGAGACTATCTACATAACAAACTGTAACTAACTCTTAACAATATAACTTATTTAACAAAATATCTATGTTACACTTGACACCCCCCCGCAAGCTTGAGCATGGATGTTTTTCATGCCAAGCTTGGAAATGAGTTCATGGAAGCGTGTGGGATGCAGTGGCTTGGTAAAGACATCAGCCAGTTGATCAGCAGACTTGACTGGAAGAAGATGGATGACTTTAGCCTGTAGTTTTTCTCTAACAAGGTGACAATCAAGTTCAATATGCTTGGTTCTCTCATGGAATGTAGGATTAGCTGCAATCTGGAGAGCAGATTGATTGTCACAGTATAATGGAGCAGCAGCAAGATGTGAAACATGAAAATCATTCAGAAGATACAATAACCACTGAAGTTCACATGTAGTAGAAGCTAGAGCACGATACTCTGCCTCAGAGGAGGAGCGAGATACTGTCATTTGCTTTTTAGCTTTCCAGGAGATAAGAGATGAACCCAGAAATATAGCAAAGCCAGTCACAGATCTCCTAGAATCGATGCAGCTAGCCCAATCAGAGTCACTGAAACCTTTCAGTTTTAAATCAGAATCTGAAGGAAGGAATAAACCAGCACCAGGAGAGGCTTTTATGTATCGTAGGACCCTGTGAGCAGCTTGAAGATGAATGTCTCTTGGATCAGACATGTATTGGCTGAGTTGTTGAGTAACAAAGCTAAGGTCGGGACGTGTGGTGGTGAGGTATTGCAAACGCCCAATCAGCTTCCTGTAGACTTGAGAATTTTCCAGTGGTACTCCTTTATCTTTGGACAGCTTGAGATGAGGGTCCATTGGAGTTGAAGCTGGTTTGGATGCCAAGTATCCTGTATCTTGAAGAAGTTCCAGAGCAAATTTCCTTTGTGAGAGAAAAATGCCCTGCTTGGAACGTGCCAGCTCAATTCCAAGGAAGTAACGAAGCTCACCAAGGTCTTTTATGGTGAAAGCCTGATCAAGTTGCAGCTTAATGGAGTTGATCTCATTCATATCATTTCCAGCTAAAATAAGATCATCAACATAGACTAAGATAACTGTAAATGATGAAGCATTGGCAACTTTGTAAAAGAGAGAATGATCAGAAGAGGATTGATGATAACCATAAGACAATAAGGCAGAAGAGAGTTTTGAATACCACTGGCGACTTGCTTGTTTTAGGCCATATAATGATTTCTGCAACTTACAAACCATATCAGATCTAGGGGCTATGAATCCTTTTAGAAGATCCATGTACACCTCTTCATGGAGA